CATCCACCACCATGGGATGAGGTATCATCAATATGCAGATGATACCCAGTTATACATCTCCTGGGTGACTTGAGTGATGCCGTGACCACCCTTTCACGGTGCCTGGAGGCTGTGGGGATCTGGATGGGTGCAACAGGCTTCAGCTGAACCCTGGTAAGATGGAGTGGCTGTGGATTGGAGGCCCCTCTGTCACCATCTTTGGTTTTGAACGGGGTTGCACTGTCCCAAACAGACCTGGTGTGTAATCTGGGGGTCCTCCTGGACTCATAACTCCTGGTCGAGGAGCAGGTGGCATACATGGACAGGAGGGTCTTTGCCCACCTTTGTGTGGTGTACCAGTTACGTCCTTTCCTGGATCAGGAGGCTCTCCAGACATTCACTCATGCACTGGTCATCTCTTGGTTAGACTATTGCAATATGCTCTACATGGGGCTACCCTTGAAGAATATCCGGAAGCTACAGCTGATTCAAAATGCAGCCGCATGAACAATCTTGGGTGCCCCAAGGATGGCACATATAACACCTTTGCTGTGGGAGCTGCATTGAGTGCCAGTTTGCTTCTGGGTCCAATTCAAGGTGTTGGTCACCTTTAAAGCCCTGCATGGCAGGAGTCCAGGTTACCTGAGGGACCGTCTCACCCCCATGACATCAACCTGTCTCACCTGGTCAAGCAGAGAGGGCATGTTGTGGACCCCGTCAGCACGAGAGTCTCGGCTGGCAGGGCCCAGGAGGAGAGCCTTCTCTGCTGTTGCCCCTGGCCTTTGGAATATTCTCCCCCCAGAGGTGCGGCGGGCCTGTACCCTCCCGGCTTTCTGGAAAGGACTAAAGACCTGGCTCTGCCAGCTTGCATGGGATGATAAGAGCTCTAATCAATCCTCAGGGTGGCTGGCGCCCTGATGATGCTCTCTGAGCTACTCGCCAATTCCATCAATTCTTGGAATTTATTATTTATTTAAGACTGCTTTTATATTGCATTTTAATTGTTTTTATCTGCTCTGTAAACCGCCCAGTCATTTTTTAACAAGATGGGCGGTGACAAATTTGATAGATAGATAGATAGATAGATAGATAGATAGATAGATAGATAGATAGGTATGTGCCTTAAATTTGTAATTAATTTTATTTTCTTTTTGTCCAAAGTAAGGGATTCCCAGGAGACTGAGGATTATGATCAGTTAAGTGGGCTGAAATCACAAACAGTCAAGCCTGAACAGTGAAGAGAGACTTTTGGAAATCAGTGAGAACTAAAACTAAAATAAAATTAGGAAAACCAGACAAAGAATGTAAGGGAGAATTACTCCACTTCTGAATGTTCTGCAATCTAGGAATTCCTCTTGATGAAATAGGATCACAAAGAAAGGGGGACTGGCCTGTGTATGGAAAAGACAAATCAGACTCATGCTCTGTGGATGCAGAATATGGAACTTTTTCTACATCCTAATATGGATGCAGAAATTATGGAATATTTTCAATCAAAGGCTTCCTCTTACTTTATGTCGAAGAATTCATGGTGGAGAGAGATCATATGAATGTAAGGAGCATGGAAAGAGCTTCAGAGGAAGAGTTCCCTTCTCATAAAAGGAGCCACAATGATGAGAAGCTCTATAAATGCATATGGAAAAGGCCTTTTTCAGGCAGCAGAGCCAAATCTCACTTTTCTCTCTTATGACAAGGGCCAGGACAAAAGCTAAACTGGATTTGACTACATTTACTGTTAAAATGACATGACATTGATTAAATATAGTTGATATGTTTACTCTCCTGTCATGAATAATCTCCTTTTTCAATGACATGAAAAATTAGAACGAGGTGACAAACCTTGGAAGTTTTGGAGGTAATATTTGATAGTTTCAGGATCACATTCTGGCTTGAAACTGGTTATTCAAAGAACATTCCGCAATGGTTCCTGGTCAGACTGGGAGAAGGCTACAGATTTTGCTTTTAGGTCAACTTTTTTATTCAGGAGGTGGAGCAAAATCATACTTGTAGACAGAAAATTGGGTGGGAAAGCAGTTCTCTAAAAATCAAATTCAGAATTCAAAAGAAATTTGATCAGTAAGTAAGTGACAAGTTAACGCTATTCTTACTTTTTGTTGTTTTAAACAAGACTTCTTTTTTATCTGCATTCTTTGTTGCTCCAACCGCAGCTGAATCTATTTCTCCATTTGTCTTTCCTCTTTTTATTTAATTCATTTAAATCAAGGTCGATTCCAGCCTTAATTTCGCCCCCTTGTACAATTTCTGAGATAACTTTTTCAGACTCTAGGATGCGATTCAAGGGGCTGGTTATGACCGATGCAGCCCTACGTGGCATAGACCTGGTTATCTGAGGGATCTCCCCTGGTGTCTGCCTGGCTGATTTGCGATGACAGGGTTGGCACCCTCAGTCAAACCATGCCATTTGCTGGGACCCCAGAAGCACGCCTTCCTTACCACGCATGGCACCTGCCCCTGGAACGAGGTTCCCTGGGGATCGACTCCCGCCCTGTTGGTGTTCCGGAGGGCCATAAACACTTGGCTGTTCTCCTAGGGAGGTTGGTGCCCCCTTTGCTGGTGGGATGTTTTGGGGTTTGACAGGTTCTCCATCTTGCTCTTTTCTAGTTTGGTTTTTGTCTTATGTCTGTTATTATATTGTTTTTATTCTGTTTAGTGTATGGAGAGCTGCCCAGAATCACTTTGGAGTTGGGCAGCACGAAAGTGAACTAAATATATACACACACACACACACACACACACACACACACCTCAATAAAATATTTAGCTGCAGTGCATTTTGTTAGAGAGACTTTTTGATCCAATGTTTTTCATCCAGAATCTACCCTGGAAGGGGCTTCTCCACCTTCCATCATCAGCTGGGATTCAGTGGCAGGGGTGCCACAAGGACCTGAAAACAGGTCACAGGGGTTTTTTGGTTTGTTTCTTTATATGAAGACGACCATAAAAGTTGGTTGGGTTTTTTAAATTTTTAATTCCTCACCTCACAGTGTGCTTTGCACCCAACCCCCTCATCCTGGCCCCCCGGAAAAGGCACTCTCCCACTGCAGAGGCCCTTTGCGTTGCCCTGAGAACCCACCAGGGGGCTCCCTCTATAAACATCAGGATTGGCAATCTTCAGAAAAGAGCTGAGCATGCGCGGGCTCCTTCGCCAGGACAGGTCCTTTGCTGCATCCAGAGATGTTTCGGAGGAAGTGAGTGACATTAGGGAGAGTCTGGCCTCTCTAGGACTCTGCACTCTCTCGCCCTGCCCAGAAGGCAAAGAGGCTGCAGGAGAGTCCTGCAGGCAAAGAGATTCAGACGTGACTCCCGGGTGAGTGTGGAGGTTTTCTCCTGGGAAGCCAAGAGGCCTCGTGTTGCAAAGGGGAGAGAGACCTTCAAAGTCTCCATCTACGTGCAGTCTTTGCAGGGGGAAGTGCAAGTTCCTATGTTCCCCTGCCGCCCCTTTCCATGCACGTGCCAAGTAAGGGGTGAAACAAAACCAGCCGTGTTGCCACGTGGAAAAAGGCCGGGATGGACAGAAAGGAGGAGGAGGAGGGATGGGGAAAGGGTGGTGGTGCTTGCATCGCAAAACTCAAGTAGATAAGAAGTTTTTCAGGAATGGAGCAGCCAGCGGGATTCTGGGGCTGCCTTCACACAAGGCTGGACTGGACGGGGGGTCAGGTCACTTGTCTTCCAGCAGGTTGTGGCTTAGGAGGCTTTGTGAAGGAAGACATGTCGAGCTGTGGCCCGGTTTCGTCTATGGGCATGTATTAGACTTGATGCAAGGAAAGAGAAATGCAGCCCCCCCTAAATACGCAGTGAGTTGTGTTCTTTATAGAAGCAGAGCTTGAAGGCCCCCTCCATCCAGCCACAGGCCTGCTTACCTGCCTAGGATAATCTCCAGCCAAATCTCTTTTGACCTTAAATTGTTTACACCAACCCTAGCAGGTTTTTGTAATTCTGCAACTTTTTTTCAGGTCTAGAAGTTGAAAGCCTCTTGTCTGGAGACCAAAGGACCCCCTAATCAAAGAGGGCTGAATGGCCTTGAAGAACTTGCCCAGGGCCTCTTTTGCGATTCAGTCATATGAATGAAAAGATCTTTGGGGTTCCTAAACACCCGTTGGCCCCGTTTGGAGCTATGTTGGAGAACGGAGAAGAAATGGAGGCACATTACTCAGTGGGCAAGGGCTCTTGGAAGGGGAGCTGTATGGTAACCTGGGCAGCAGCTGGGCAGAAGACCCTGGAAGAGAAAATAATCAGCTCAGAGGTTCAGCGCAGGCTCTTCAGGAGCACCCATTACCAAGAGGCCAAGGGCCCCCGAGAGATTTGCAGCCACCTCCACCACCTTTGCCATCAGTGGCTGCAGCCAGAAAGACACACAAAAGCTCAAGTGCTGGATTTGGTGGTCCTGGAGCAGTTCCTGGCCATCCTGCCCGCAGAAATGGAGACTTGGATCCGGGAGTGTGGAGCAGAGACCAGCTCCCAGGCGGTGGCCCTGGCCGAGGGCTTCCTGCTGAGCCAGGCGGCGGAGCAGAAGGAACATGTAGAGTTGCGGGTGAGAGAACTTCATTCTGAGAATTCTGAATGAGTCTTCATGTTATAAATAGTGAATCTGAATTATTACATCTCTCTCCACCATAGTTTTCTGGGATTAATAAGGAAGATGTTTAACTCCTTAGATAAATTGTTCTGTTCTCATTTCGTGGGATGTATTTGGGGCAAATGTTCCATTACTCATTCCATCTCCATAGGGAGCTGCAATGTTGTGATCTGAGAGCAAGAATCCCTTAATTTCTTTTCCTTTTCTTCCTATTTCAGGTCCAGACACCCTTTGTAGAGGAGGTCGTCGAACATCACAGGGGAAGTGGGGATTTATCAAATCTGCCTCAGGAGCTGCTTTTTGGAGGGGTCTCTAAAACAGAACTATGTCAGGATACTGCAAAAGGTAAGGGAAAGTCCTTTAAGGGGTATGAAGTTGCCAGAGAGAGTCCAGCTCTCGCTCTCTCTCACTCTTCTGGGCCTCTTGTTTATAATTTCTCCCTATCTTTTATTAACTGTATCTCTAAAAAATCTGCTTCTACCACTTTTTGTTTCTTTCACAGGGAATAGATCTATGTCACTGGCATTTTTAGGATCATCTCCTTTTTCTTGTGGATCCAGAAGGGCAGCTGAATTTTCAGCTCAGGTACAGGGGAAACATCAGAGATGATGTGGCGGGTTGTCCCTGATTCAAGGTGGTACAGATCTTAAGCAGGATACATGCTAATCTATTCCACTAGAAACAAGTTTTATTAAAAACTACCTTATTTTTCATTATAAAAGGAAGATTACTTAGCATTTTCTAAACTACAATTGGTGTCTCTATCCTATATCTACTATTTTTCTAGGCTGTTTTAATCTTCTAAACTCTATGCTATTTTCTTCATTTATTCCTATTCTGACTTTACTATTCTTCCCGTGTCCATACTCTCTACTTCTTTTCTTTACTCTCTGTGCTACCTTCAGTTGTATGTTAATTCTGTCTATCCTGATGCCAGTCCTACATATGGTGATCCAGCTGCTACTTCTTGTGATTAGTCTTTGGTGATTTGTAAACAAAGAGAGACAATTTGCAAATCCTTGCTGGGACTGTATGTTCATGGGAAACTCTTTCCTTCTTTAGGGTGTTGTGTCCTTCAAGGAGGTGGCTGTGTATTTCTCTAAAGAGGAGTGGACTCAGCTGGATGCCCATCAAAAAGCCCTCCATGAGGAAGTCATGCTGGAGAATTCTCGGAATGTGGCCTCTCTGGGTAAGGAGAGGTCCTCAAATATTGTCTTGTGTGAACCTGCTCTTTATAGATTTTGTTGAGCTCTTAAACTGGTTCTGGTAAAGCTAAGCTATGGCTTTCTTTTTTCTGCTTTTTAAACATAGATATAAAAACAGTGGAATTTTCTTTAAGAAGAAATCATGAAGATAAGCAAATTTTTTTGAAGGTTTTTACCCACTGATAATAATAGAAACTGTCCATTGCAATACCATGAAATATCATATAGAAAATTAGTAATAACCAAGTTGAGATCAAGCTATTTTGTTTAGACCAGGGTTTAGAAATACTGCAGTCATTGCTAAAATTCTAGTAGATAATTCACAATCACTTTGTATAGTTTGACTTTATTTCCTTTCTCTAGCCTTATTACAGCTGTCATTCTCTTTTTTCCTCAAGGAGGTAAAGGGCAAGAAAATGAAAATTGCAAGGAGATCCTCCAAACTTTCAAGCTTGAAGAGGGAAAAGGGATGTTTGCAAATCAAATGGAACCAAAAATGCACGAGGAAAGCCACTCAAAAAATGGAAGGAAACGAGGTTCTTCTTTTCAGTGGCCTCAAATTCAAGATTTATTTGTACAACCAAACCACCATCTTAAAAGTAAGGGAAAGTGTTTAGGGAAAGGTGGAGAAATATTCCAGGATATATCAGATTTAAATAAAGCTTGCAGAACCCTAACCAAAGAAGGGAAGTATCAGTTCAAGGAGGATAGAAAAAGTTGCAATCGTACTTTTGCTCTCTCTCTGCGTGAAAGAGTCAGCATGGGAGAAAAACCATATAAATGCATGGAATGTGGAAAACACTTTAGCAATAGCAGTTCCCTTACTTGCCATAAAAGGATCCACACTGGAGAGAAACCATATAAATGCTTGGAGTGTGGAAAGAGTTTCAGTAGTAGCAGTAACCTCACTGCTCATAAAAGGAGCCACTCAGGAGAGAAACCATATAAGTGCCTGGAGTGTGGAAAGAGCTTCAGTACGAGCAGCAGCCTTACTTCCCATAAAAGGAGCCACTCGGGGGAAAAACCATATAAATGCCTGGAGTGTGGAAAGAGCTTCAGTACAAGCAGCAGCCTTACTTCCCACAAAAGGAGCCACTCGGGGGAAAAGCCGTATAAATGCCTGGAGTGTGGAAAGAGCTTCAGTACAAGCAGTTACCTTACTTCTCATAAAAGGATCCACACAGGAGAGAAACCATATAAATGCACAGAGTGTGGAAAGAGCTTCAGCAACAGCAGTAGCCTTACTTCCCATAAAAGGAGCCACTCAGGGGAGAAACCCTATAAATGCATGGATTGTGGAAAGAGCTTCAGGAAGAGCAGTAACTTTTCTTCCCATAAAAGGATCCACACAGGGGAGAAGCCATATAAATGCAGGGAATGTGGAAAGAGCTTTAGTCAGAGCAGTGACCTCATTTCCCATAAAAGAATCCACACAGGGGAGAAACCATACAAATGCATGGAGTGTGGGAAGAGCTTCAATACCAGCAGCAACCGTGCTTCCCACAAAAGGACCCACACAAGGGAGAAAATTTATAAATGGATGAAGATGCATTTTAGCAAAAGCAGTAGCCTCTCTAAACATAGAAGGATCCATACAGGAGAAAAACCATATAAATGCATGGAATGTGGTAAAAGCTTTAGGAAGACCACTACTTTTATTTCCCATAAAAGGATTCATGCAGTGGAGAAACATTATAAATTTCTGGAAGGTAAAACTGGGATCTAAAAAACACCATAAAAGGTTCCATTTAGGAAAGAAAGCGTATCAAGGCATGGACTATGGAAAGAGCTTTAATTAAAGTTCTCGTCTTACTTCCCCTAATTCAGTCCACATAGCAGAAAAACTGTACAACTGCATGGAATAGAAAAAGAGCTTCTGTTAACATGGGTCCCTTCCTAGTATTGAGAAGAAACAGTGGGGAGAAAGTATACAAATACATGGAATGTGAGAAGAGCTTCAGTAGAAGCATTGGACACGCTGTCCCATTAAGGCTCCATAGAGGGGTGGGAATATGTGGTGCGTGGAGAGAGCTTCAACAGAAAGAGCAACTATCCTTCCCACACAAAGGACACCATAAATGGATGAAGTGTGGAAAGTGTTTCCATACATGCAGCCTATAGCTTCTCGTTAAAGAATCCACAGTGAAGAAATTGTATAAATGCACCAGCAGTGGGAAATGCTTAGATTCCATACACATTTTTCCCTCGAAACGTATTCATTTGTTACAATCTAGATATGTTGTGGATGGATATGGTGATGCCTTTTTTTCTTGGTCATTGTCTTTAGTGTTAATAATAACTCATGGCATTCTCTTTAATAACATGTTAATGGATTGGCATGTTTTGTGTAGTCCAGAAAGATTTAAAAGGATGGGAACAGAAACTGCAGCTTTTATGGAAACATTTGGTAGACAAGATTTAGGTGGGTGGCCATGCTAAGTGCTCCTACTCCTAGTGTAGCAGGTGGAGGCTGTGTCCAGGGGCATCCCACCCTCCCAGGATCATGAAGCCCTGTCAACAGTGACTCATGCCCTTATCAGCACGTGCCTGGACTTCTGCTACACAGTCTCTGTAGGACTGTCTTTGAAGATGAATCAGAAGCTGCAGTTGGTGCAGAACTTATCCTTTGGCCCCTGCACTCGCTATCTATGACATTCCAAATCCAATTCCATTGCTCCTTTTTACCTATATAACCCTGCACCGCTGCACTGAGTTATCTGAGAGAGCACATCCTCCAAAATTCTTCCATTCTGTAAGCTCCTCAGGAGTCCCAACCGAGAAGTAAGGGGTCCCAGTAGAAGCAAATATGTGTAGCTCAGGGTTGAACTCCGGAGTCCTTGGGGTTCTCTGAGCTTGGTTCTTTTCTTGCAAACGTTTTGTTACCCGGCTAGGTAACATCTTCAGTGCTAGAATGGGATGGGGTTTGCCCTCTTTATATACAGTGGCATGCCCTGCCAGTACTGGTGGGGGTGGGGTTTTTGTTTTGTTTTATTTTTTCTCTCTGGTAGCTCCTTGATTAGGATATTGTTTACTGCTTATAGCAGAGATTAACATCAAGATTATCACCAGACATACAATCAAGCAGTGAATTTCCAGGATGTTGAATATTGTCTTCAGTTAAGCCATCCTGTGAGATTTTCAGTGCACAAATTATAATTACTTAGAAAGGTAGATTTAATTCAGCTCCTCTTTGGGTTTTGAGTTATCTGAGTCATAGTTCTCCCTTAGGCATGAAAGTCGCCTGGCTGACTTTGCACCAGTCACTCACTCTCAGCCCAACTTTTGTTGTGGGAAAAACAAGGAGGAAGGAGTATTATGTATGTTCGCCCCTTTGTGTTATTTATAAAAATAATAAAGGTGGGATAAAAAATCTAAAATAAGAATGTTCATACCCAAACTGGAAGGAAAATCCATAGCTAATTTGCAGCACTGGATTGCTAATATGTGTTGCCTGCCTACATTTGAATTACTGTGTTTTTTGTTTTGTTTTTAGCAAAGGCTCAAGGAAGGAGACTTTAGAGCACAATACTAAATGTTTTTGGAGTTGTTGTGTTTGTAACATAATTTGCCATGACATTTTCTCTGTTTTCTTTCCTGTTTTAAACTTATGATGATGATTAAGTATGAAATTATATTATCTCATCTGTGTATCCTTTGTTCATTAGTTGTGGACAGTAAAAGTTTTAAAAGTTGTATTTTATTTACAATTTGGATTTCTAAGGCCACCCAACCCAACAGCAACTCTAGGAGGCATACAAATAATATACATTTTCCTTTGTTATTAATCCTTTTTACTAACTTGTAACTTCTGTGCTTCTGTGTTGGGTATTTAAGACTCCTTTGAGGCTCAGTGAAGCTTCCTCTCCTTTGGTCTGTCATCCTTATCCAGAGTTATTCCAATGCATGTTATTTATATGTTTTTTTTAATTATTTGTAGCAGAGGAATATAAGTATCATCCTAGATGGAGGGTAAGACCTAAATGTTATTGTTAAAGTGTTTAATAAATGTGATCTCTATACTTGATTTATGTGAGTCTTGTTAGATTTATTGGAAGAGGGAGAAGTACAGATGCTGCCTTGATCTGATGAAAAGGCGGGATATAAATCTGACAAACAAATGAAATGTATAATTAAATACTGTATCAACATTATTTTAGTATATAAAGGCCATAGTTGATGGGCACTTAGTAGAAAAAACACCATTTCCTATCTTTCAATGATTTTCTTCCACTGTGCACTCTTTCCTGGTGCATTGGTGTTCTCAACCACAAAGTGTATGGTGTGTCAATGTAAGAATTTATGGATGAATGTTTTTTTTAAAAGGATAAAGAATAGGAAGCCTTGTGATGCTGTGCAGAACTTGAAATGGTACCTGCCTGATGGGCCTGGTCAATGTGCTTCACATTCAGTTTCCTGACATTCCCTTCCAAAGCCCTGAGTCTTGGCACTGACCATTTCAGAAAGGATTATATTTCATATTAAAATGATGAGAGGCACCACCCTGCACACAGGGGCAAAGGGGCCATGTGAGGCTATTCTCAATGCCCAGGAATTCTGGCAGCAAATGTATAATATCAGGTACCCAACAACGTATTTAGTCAGACTTTTTTTTTCTCTTGCTTTTTTAAAAAATTACTTTTATCAGTTAATTTTCCCTATCTTTCTTCTACCTTCACCTAATTGCTCCTTATAATAATGATGGCCTGTTAATAGACATTCCTTTGCACAGAAAACTCTATGCATGATTAGTAGAAGCCGCAGAGTTTTTGTAAATATACAAAAAAAGGGAAAGGGCAGACTTTGGGGGGTGAAGCAGACTTTCACAAAAGTTAGAATGGATGCAGCCCTCAGTCTTTCTTTCCATATAGTGATCCACACAGGAGAGAAGCCATATAAATAGATGGAGTGTAGAAAGCTTTAGCTGGAGAAGTGACCTTTGTGGTAACCTGAACCATGTGCCATACTTGCCACATTAAATGGACCCACGGGTTTTGATGCTTGCTGCCGAAAATGGCTTTCATCAGCTCTTACATGGCACTTCCTAGTAAGATACAGTAAGTACTATTTACTGTTATTTATTTATTCAAATTTAGTTACTGCCCACATGGCACTTCCTAGTAAGATACAGTAGTTACTATTTATTTATTTGAATTTATTAGCCACCCAACTCCAGCAGGGAGTTTTCCACTCTGTCTATATTTGAAGCCTCCCTTTGTTCCTTCAATTTCTTCAGCAGGTCAAGCAAGATATCGTGCCAAATGGACCTTGCAGCTTAATCAAAAGATGATAGAGGACAGTCTACAAAAGTGTTGATTGGCCCTCATGTTGCCCAACCCTACTCAGGATCCTCTGGATCTATACAAAGCTCTAGTGCAAAAGCTAGAACCTTTATTGGCTTACAACCCCAATTTCTCGGTTAAGCAGCCTTCAATTTCATCAAAGCCATGGTGTGATAAGGATTATGTTGAAAGTAAGAAAGCCCTTACCTCTGCTTATCATCTTTATAAATCTGAGACGGGACAATAACACAATGACCCTTGAACATCTTCTTGCCCTCAAAAAACAATATAAGCAACTAGTGGACTATAAGAAGAAGAAAGATATAAGGACCACCTGGGAACAACGTATTCAAGCAGCCAAGGGAAAGAACTCCACTCTTTTCTGGCACTTAATACCTTACCTGGTTTTCAGAGCTTCTACCCCATTGGATTCTTACATACCTCCTGATGCCTGGGAATTACATTACCAGAGGATATATGAAGATCCCTCCAGTGAGCCTCCAGTTCAAAAGATGGAGGAATTACCTTGATGGCTCCTGGTATCTGTGCCTGAAATTAAGTTCCTTATTAGTCATCTCAGGAAGGAGAAGGCTCCTGGAGCTGACCTTATTCCCCCAGAACTATTGAAGAATAACATAGAGTGGTGGGGTCCAATCCTGACTTCGCTCTTCACTTGTACTGATACCACCGGATGTGTCCCCGAGGACTGGGGCCTGCCAATTATAGTTCCAATCTTTAAGAAGGGAAAGAGAGATGACCCTGCTAACTATAGGCCAATTAGCCTGCTTAATATAATCAGCAAACTTTATGCTAAGCACCTCCACGATAAATGTAAGAACTGGCTGGATCAGGAAAATCTGATAGAGGAAGAGCAGGCCAGTTTTAGAGAAGGTAGAGGCACCATCGATCAATGTTTGGTCCTACAGCATTGATTGAAAAATATACAACCAACAATGTGGTATCATTGTATGCTGCCTTTATAGATCTTAAGGCAGCCTTTGATTCTATATCCAGGACCAAATTATGGGAGAAGCTGGAAACCTCATCAATCGATCATAGGCTTCTCTATTTAATACGAGCCCTACACACCAATATGACTCTTAAGGTCAGGTGCAATATGCAAGGGTTTCTCTCGAAGCCTGTTAAAACTCAAAAGGGGGTAAAACAGGGATACCTTTTGGGCCCCTTGCTTTTCAATTTTTATATCAATGGTATGAAGAGATGTCTAAACAATCCAAATTTCCACCCCCATAAACTAGGAGATTGTAGCACTGCCCTGCTGCTTTATGTAGATGATGCTGTAGCTCTTTCCAGAACACCAACAGGTCTTAAAAGAGCTCTGAGAACTCTGCAACAATGATAATCTGGAAATAAACTATCAGAAAACCAAGATTACACCATTTGCCAAAAGGCTGAAGTTCTGTTCATGGAGCATTAATGGCTATAGAATAGAACAAGGGACTTGCTTTAAGTATTTGGAAGTAGGCATGCATGCCACAGGCTCAAGGAAAGCCCACTGTGAATATGCTGCTGCTACTGGACAAAGATCTGCTGATGCCACCCTCAAATTTTTCTGCTCCAAGGGAGGACATTATGTCCAAGCTGCACTTAAGCACTTTCAGGCTAAGCCACTAGCCCAGCTCCTTTATGGGACTTTGGTTGGCCCCCCACCTTGTTTCATCTCCTTGGAGAGGCTACAATTTAAATTCATCAGAGCAGTTCTCCAGATACCTCACTGTGTCTCCAATGCACGTTTATGACTGGAGACAGGTATGATAAAAGTTGAGGCAAGAGTGTGTCTGGCTTCTATAAACCTTTGGTTAAAGCTTAACTTTTATCCTCAAGGCCTAGCACCATTAATTCTCCAGGACAACTTTCAATCCACATGGATCAAGGCTGTTGAATCTAAACTTTTAAATTTAGATTACTCTCCCTCCTCGGTTCTTAAGATGAAATATGATCAGGCAAAACAAACCCTGAAGCAAAGGATAAAGGACATGGAGCGGCAAGCAGATCTGGGGAAGGCCCCCACCTTCCTGTCACCAGTACACAACAGATATACTGACACTGCTGCCAGCCACCTTACACAGCTAAAAACACCGGCCGTCGGAAAGCTTTCTCTCTTGCCCGAAGTCATGCACTTCCCTCTGCAGTATTGGATGGTAAATGTAAAAAAGTACCATTGGCTGAAAGGTTTTGCCGCTGTGATTCCAGAGAGGTGGAACTACAGAATAGGTTCTTCTTCGCTGCTCCTTTTATAGAGACATTTGCACCAGATTCATCCTACTTCTGATTAGTAGACATCCTGGTCGCTCAGACTCAGCCTGCACCCAGCTGCTGCTCATGGACAACTGCCTCTTGTTATAGCGCACACGGTTGGGCTTGTGCAGTAGCACAGATCATCCGCCGGACCCCGCTGGGCCAAATTCCCACCAGCCAAACACATTCTACGTAGCTGCCATTCATTTAAATTTTAGATATTATCCCCTTTTTTTTTTTTGGTTATTTTAGATGTTGTTACACTTTATATAATTTTAGTGTCTACTTAGACTGCATCTTGGACCTCACTCATAGATGCTAGTCAGGTTGTTTTATAAATGCATTTTAACTTTGTCTTAAATTTCATTTTATTTAATTATCTATTAGGATAGGTATAATATACGTTCACAGAGTAATAAATGGAGCTGAAAACTCCAAGAGACCCTTCCCAGGTTGTAAGAGCGGGGGCTCCTCTACTCACACCAGAATAAAGCGGGTTATTTCCCCCTCACAGACAGGCACTTTTCCCTCACGTTTCTAGTCCAATAAATCAGCTTTACATTCACGCTCCGCCACTCGGCATCTTGATCCGTTTTCGCTGTTTCCAAGGAACGCCCTTTTTCCTCCGGGGTCGCGGCCTCCTCCGCCCTTCGCTTCCCCGCGCGGCGCACCCCCTGAGGCGAAACGCCGCGACCTCCGTCGGAGGGCCGGCGGGGCGCAGAACCGCTCCTCCCCGCCCTCCAAACCTTTTTGCAGCCCCCGGCTGGGCAGGAGAGGGCCCGGGAGTGGAAAGGCCCCTCCCTCCTACTCCCGAGCCCATCATCCTTGCCCTCCCGAGGCAACGGCCCCCCTCCCCTGCAGCGCGCAGAGGCGCCACCAGGGGGCCTCCCCAGTGCGTGCCCAAGGGAAGAGGCCGCAGGCGAGCCGTTTCGGAGGAGGGGCGTCCCCCGGAGCCTGACTCTCTAGGACTCTGCGCTCGCCTGCCTTAACCCTTTGAGCCCTGCAGGCTGCAACAGCAGCAGCAGCAGCAGAGACCACGGGAAAGTCCCGCAGGGACGGGGAGGCGTCGCGTGGGGGCGCTTCTCGTGGGTGGGGAAGCAAAGGGGCCTCGTGGTGGGGGGAGAGGGAGGGAGGCGTGCAAAGCCTCCATCCAGGCTTAGGCTTCTTACACCCGGGAAGAGCCCGGGGGTCCTCCTTTCCCTGCTGCTCCCTCCCTTGCCCGTACTACGGCAGAGTCCGGGAAAAGCCCCCGAGCAGCCACTTTCCCACGAGGAGAAGGTCCAGGATCGCCAGGAACGAGGATGGTCTGGGGGAGCCCTGCACCCGCCCATTTCTTGGGAAAGCTTTTGAGCGGGAGAGGTTTGCACTGCAAAACTCAGCAGGCACGTGGGAAAAGTTTTGCAAACGAGACTCGGTGGTTGCACTCAGACGATGCGCCGGATGATGCTAAAAGGGTCATTTGGGGTCCAGGCCCCGTCTTAGGAGCCTTTGTGAACCAGGACGTTGCATAATTAGGACGAAGTCCTAATCTGGTTGCATTCTCTGGGCACCGCAATGTAGGGTAGTCTTTGGCAGTTTGCTAAACCGGGTTTAGGGTTCGCATGTTGTGTGAAGCCTGCCTGCATGTTGTGGAAGAATTTAAGCCCATCAAATATGAATAAATGTTTTAGCATGCACAGTAGTAGCAAATATTTAGTAAGCACTAGAAGCAAGTAGGTGCATAAGAATAGTTTATATCAGTGTTTTTCAAACTTGGGAACTTTTAAGATGTGTGGACTTCGACTCAGCTGGGGAATTCTGGGAGTTGAAGTCCACACATCTTAAAAGTTCCCAAACACTGCCATACAGTGATAGCAAAGTCTCTGGTAAATCAAAGAGAATGAAGACCGTCCCCGTATGCCACTAAACATACACATTTACTGCAAAACATCTTTCTAACCATTTACTTGACAGTATCTTTCATTAACCAGAACACTTTTCTTCCTACCCCAACTTTCTTTTCCTCCCTACCAGCGTTTCTAGGATCTCCCAGGCATTGCATGCAGGAACCACTAGGTGGAATCCACTGCCAATTGGTATTTGTTAACTTTTGCTGATTCTGATGGAGCCAGAACAGCCCCCCCTCCCCAAAAAAGCTTGAAGCTTATTGAAAACACTGAGGATGTGAACATGGAATGCCTGCATGGGAACTAGCAAAGCTCAGTGTTGTTAAAGCAGAAATAACACACACAAAGATTAAAATTCTAGGAGAAAAAAACTGAAATACTCTACTTCATGCCACTTCACTCCTGGGTTGCAGTGGACAGAGCGAAAGAGCTTGTCTGTTGAAGGATTTCAACTCCACATGGAGCTGAATTCCTTCAGCAGACAAGCTCTTTCGCTCTGTCCTCTTTCGCCTCCCCTCTATCAATATGAACAGAGCACCTGAAGATTTGAGCTCCGTAACTGCCCAGTACTGAAAGAGGAAGGGAAACCTCCCAGCACTGGGCAGTTATGGAGCTCAAATCCTGAAGATTTGAGATCTGTTCATTCACACCGTGTCCCCTCCATTTGTGACCTTCCCTGCTGGCTTCCAATGGGGAAGCTGGCAGAGAAGATTCAAATGGCAATCACGTGATCATAAGGTGCTTGGCAATCGATCATAAATGCAAGCCAGTTGGCATGCGCCCGAAATGTGGCCACGTGACTGGGGGGGGCGGCGGTGCAATGCTTTACGATAGCTGGAAGTGCTTTACAGGCGGTAAGGCACCCTTTCCAAGGCTGTCGTAATTTCGAACTGTCATTAAAATAACGTTAAGCGAGGACTACTGTAATGGCACTTGGAAATTGGCTTTCAAAGCAAGCGCAGATGCTCCACCCAAAGCATTGGGTTTTTAAATAGCTACAATCAGAAAATCACTACATCATAAATGAATATAAGTTCACTGGTAAACAGAACACTCCTAAAAAGGTGGGTACTATTGCTGCTAAAGGAAATATGATCTTTATTTGTATCTTTATTTATTTATAGCACCTTTATCTTGGTTACAAGCGCTTCTCGCTGCCCTCTGTTCTCCACGGGAGGGCTTTCACTGCTTTCCACTAGTTACTTTCACTTCTCGATAAGGCACGCTAAGGAATTTGGACGCAGTTTGCAACTAATTTTCTGTTCTGTTCTCAGCAACTAGTGAAGGCCAATTCTGGCTATGCATAATGTTTCTTTTATTTAATTCCAAAATTCACCACTCCATCAATATTAA